TTTTCATAGGCTTTTTTGAGTTCGGGCAAGGACAAAGGGGCCCCATGATCCCCTATTGCCTGGGGGCCCCATGAGTTGCCAGTCTGCCCCTGGTTCAAGCCAATATTATGGCAGTACTCAGACTTAGAGATGAGCTGTACACTGTGCGTAGCTGTGTGACCTACAGAGTTCCTCTGTCAAATATTCTGTCCTTCTTGTAGAATATTGCATTTAGGAGGGACACTGCTGAGCCCGTGCCCTCTCCACCCATCCAGCATACATCCCTTTCTGATGGCTCCCCTGGGCAGAGCCTTCCCCCCATTTATGTGTTCCACAGGGCTGGGGTAGACCTAGAAAAAGTCCAGGAAACTAACATCCCAACAGTTAACCCCCTCCCAACCTTGGCAGAACAGCTAGTCTATCTATCCACAAAATCCTCCCTGTATGCACCCCCTACATGCAGGTTATGACTAGGACACCTGAAGCTTTCAGACTGAATAGACAGTGGTGTTTATGTAGAATCTATGTCCACGTTGAAATAAAACAGCATCTCCCATCAAAAACAGCCCATAGATGGCCATTGTGACAGAATTCTGTATTGTGGATTTTCCTCCACTAAATAGATAAAAAATATGGCTAATAAGAAGCCAGATTGCAAATCCTATTCATCTCTTATTATTAGCAATACTACTAGAAAAGGACTGACATTTAGGATAATTGCAGTTGCTATCAGAGCTTTGTTAATGACAGAATAGCAACTGGAGTGTGTTAATCTCCTACAACCAGGTGTTTATACTGGGGCTAAAGTTGTTCATAGGGAAATTGGCAGAAGGAGTACAATTCAACAAACCTCAGGGCACCAAAGCAGAGCAATCCATAAATCTGAAATTTCAGTTCTGCAGACCAAGCTAGTTTATGACACTGCTGGAGAAGCAGGGGTGCAGTATAGGCAGAATCTGACAGTCATGATATCTTTGGAGAAAACAAGGACAGGTTTTATAACTACAAAAATAAACTGGAAGAGAAAAATGAAATCTCCACCAACTCCTGTTGAATGGACTTTATAGGCACACCATGAGACATATATTTGTAAGGGCTTATGTACACTGCAGCTCCTAAACTGACGTTCAGGAGCTGTTCAGTGTTTTTTCAGCAGTCCCTAAACTCTCCCTAATGTTTTCCAATGTGTCCATGTACACTATGTCATTTACAGGCAGTTGAGTTTCCAGTCATTTTTTTGAACGTACCAGACTTGCGTTCAGGAGTAGATTTTACTGGCATTTCAAACGCTAACCGCTTGTAAACTCGGTTAACTGCGTTTATAAGTGTTTGCGTTTAGAAGCATTTTTTAACTTTTTAACTCCAGAGCCTTTTTTCATCACCAGAAATGCATGCAAAGCATTTTACATGTATTCAAATGGACCTAGTACTCCACTGCAGTCAGTTCCAGGTTTCGCATGAAGGAAAAAATGGTAGAACGTGCTGCATTATGCTCATGATGGGATCCATAATGAATACAACCAGAAAAGATAGGTAATCTCAACACATACTGCTCTCTCTGCTTCTGCTCTCTCTATTCTTCTCAAAATGTCTGAAATAGTTAATTTTTTACTATTTTTCAGTGCATTCTGGGGATTTGGGAGGGTCTCCTGAGGTTATCTTTTAAAACGCTTCTAAACACAAACGCACATAAATGCACATAAACGTTTTTTAACCTAAGTTTTCCAGCAGTCAGTTTCAAGTGTTCAGAAGAGTTTTCCAAATGCCCCGTGTACAGTACATGAACCCTTAAAATCAGATTCTTTACAAATACCCTCTACCTGACTGGTACATCAGCTAGCCCGAATATGTATACACACTTATATAAGATACTTGTATATGCACAGGCTTGCTTGTCCAAATCCAAGTACATCAATGCATTTCACAATTAGATAGCTTCATCAGGACAATGAGAGTAAATGAATACAAACTAAATATAAAGAAAAATAATAATTTACACAAAATATATATTAATCAAACAATTTACATATATAACATGTCAAATAAGTATATATACAGTAGAGTATATTACAATGTGAATACTGACCTACAAAATAATAGTGGCTCTGAATATTCTTTTATTGGGGGAGTGCAGTTTGCCATTTTCGCACTGCTCATAACTATGGCCTACCTGACAGTTGCAAAGACAAGCCATGCAAAAGCTTTTCTCCTTCAACATTTCCCTTTGCCTGCATTTTGTTAACAACATGGAGTAAGAAATGTGTACTTTCTCACCCACAACCAAAAACCAGCACTTTTTGTAGCTTTAGTGCTGCAGAACAACCCAATACTTATTAACACCAGATTAGTGTTTTTAGGAAAGGGACTCATTTGGATCTATGGCAAGCTGCAACCAATTATATACCAAGACAAAAACAAACTATAAAATCCCAGCGCCAACCTAAGAAAGTGTATAATTATGCAGCTGCGCAACAGTGGAAACCACCAATAATAAATAACACAAAACGCCCTGTGGGTGGGGCGAAACGCGTTGACGTGGAAACCTGGTCATCCTCTACAGTGATTCTTAAAGCGTGAGATCCCTATATTAACATTTGGAAACTGGTTTTATTGAAGCCTTTGAGGCTATTAAACAAGGCCTGTTATTTTATTGAAACATGTGAGTGTCCTTATTCTATCGATTTATATGGTATTGAGTGGCAGTATTACACTATGTAGCCTTTCTTTCCTTGCACATGATTGAGGATTCCAAGGAGAGGTGGAGTGGAGTCGGTGCTATATCTGGGCAGGGTGAAGAAGGAGATTTAAGTTCCTTTGGAGGGGCTATAGGATCCCTTATATCCTATGAGGCTTATTACTCGCCTCCATCTGGTGACTGCGGTCAATATTATTTGTCACGTGGTGATCAGGTGGAAGCACAATTTGGAATATTCTTTGAATATCCTTTTGGGGATTGGGAATAAGGATTTATGTTTGAAATATGATATGTATTTTTTGCACGGACATTTATTTTATTTAATTTATTTGTGATAATTTATTTGTGATTATTTTTCATTTAATTTTTTGCTCTGTAATTATATACCAAGAGTCACTTTTTTATTGCAAATTTTAATTTGAAAACTGACACCTAACTGATTGATTTTGTTGTGTTTTAATCCCAACATTGCCAGAGCTTTAATCCAGTTTTCTTAAATAAATAATATTACTTTGTAACAGAATTAATAATGTTAATATCACTATCCTGCAAGAACTACAATATTATTCTCTGCTCAGAGGCTTCTATTACATTTATCCACTTAGAGGTGGAGAACCCTTCTTCATGAGATGATTAACGAAATGGAAGCAGAAAGATATTTACTTGCATTTCTCCAATTACATGCAGGTGCAATGAGTAATACTTGTTGACTGTGGAAGAAAATGAGACATCTTTACTATTTCTGTTATAAAATTACCCTCATGTATACGACATAGATGCCTATAATTATCATGCCATTTGCCTTCATTCATTTTCTGTGAATTTGCAATTAAATGTGAGCTTATTTAGGCAGCATGAATGGTGGAATTCTTTATCTATGACATTTCTTTTACATACTGTATCCTACAGATTGTGAAAGGGTAACAGAAAGAAGTGTCAAGTATTCACTGCTCTGGTTTGGTGTTCAAACGTCTGAATAAGGTTATATTCATGGATGGACAGTTTATCTCAGGCTAGAGGTTATTGTATCATATGATCAATGGCAAAGGACAGCTGGATGTCTGTTTTAACCTTTTTGATATAGCACAGCTCATATAAACTGACATCCTGAATACTGTTTTGGATATGTCATATTTCTGAAGATAAGGTGCATATAATGCCAAAACTGATTTTTGGAAGTTGTGTGTGTATATATATATATATATATATATATAGATAGATAGATAGATAGATAGATAGATAGATATATAGAAACACATATCTACCACTGTACATTTTTCAATGTCAAATAGGGGATCTGTGCTGTCATTAGACATTTGGGAATACTAAGACACCCAGCTAAACCAAAGGGCTAGATACAATGTGATCACTGTGATTGGTCATCACAGTGATTACATGGTATTGTTTACATTGCTGATCCTGCCCCCTTCCCCAGTTCTCCTTTACAATAGGGGGAGGAGAGAGATTGAGCATTTGGACATAGAATAAATGGATCAACAGCTGTAACTGCAGATCTCTTCATCCTGTTTCAGTGACACAAGGATTTTTTTTTTTAACCCTTTCATGCCCCCCCCCCTCCACTTGCTAGTTCCGGAGCTGTCTCCATGTGACCTTATCCTGCACAACTGAACATTAACCCCTTCATCTCCATTCTGCCACTGTATGTGCCAGTACATTCGCCTCTTTACCTCCTCCTTCTTCTGCATATGACCTGTACATTAATGTATCTAATTCACCATTCTCAAGCTCCATTGTTTTCCCCCTCAGTACAGGCATGTTCAATGCTGTCACACTTTGAATGCCACTCAAGCATGCAAAGCTGTACCCAAATATTTTTATCATTTACTGAAACTTATGTAACTTTCTTTTAGTGGTATTTAACGGCCTCCTACCCGCCATATAAAGAAATGATGGGCGCAAGGCGGTTCTCTCATTCTGGGAGGATGTCATATGACGCCCCCCCAACTCTAACCACGCGTGCACGGCACCGGTAGCGTGCAGCGCGGCGATCGGTGGTGTGCTGTGTCCCTCGGACACAGCGGATCACCGATCAACGGAAAGAGCTGAAGATGTCAGCTCGGTCATGTGATCAGCTGTGTCCAATCACAGCTGATCGCATGTAAATAGGGAAATGCCGGTTATCGGCATTTATCCCCTCACGAGCTGTCACGCTGTCATGCCAGTAATCGGCATTCCTCAGAGGGAACATTGATGTGGCACTGATGGGCACTGGCAAGTGGCATTGATGAGCACTGACAGCTGGCATTGATGGACACTGACACTGACAGTGCCCTGATGATCAGTGTACCCTGATGATCAGTGTAGCCCTAGCAGTGCCACCTGTCAGTGTCAATCAATGCCAGCTGTCAGTGCTCATCAATGCCACCTGCCAGTGCCCATCAGTGCCACATCAATGCCTCATATCAGTGCTTACCAGTGCACACATCAATGCCACATATCAGTGCCCATCTGAGCTGCTGTTCAGTATCACCTATCAGTGCCAGCCAGTGCCACCTATCAATGCCAGTCAGTGCCACCTATCAGCACTGCCAATCAGTGCCACTTATCAGTGCCAGTCAATGCTGCCTATCGGTGCCAGTCAATGCTGCTTATCAGTGCCCATCAGTGCCGACTAACAGTGACAGTCAGTGCCACCTAACAGTGACAGTCAGTGCCACCTATCAGTGCCAGTCAGTGCTGCCTATCAGTGCCAACTATCAGTGCCGCCTATCAGTGCCATATATGAGTGCTGCCTTCCAGTGCCCATCAGTGATACCTGTCAATGCCCATCAGTGCCACTTACCAGTGCCTCCTCATCAGTGCCCCTATCAGTGCCCATCAGCAGCCTATCAGTGCCCATCACTGCAGCCTCATTAGCGCACATCAGTGAAGGAGAAAAATCACTTTTTTTATTTTATAACAAAAACTAAGAAAAACATTTGTTTTCAAAATCTTCAGTTGTTTTTGGTTTGTTTAGCAAAAAATAAAAAACCCAGAGGTGATTAAATACCAACAAAAGAACGCTCCTTCTGTCTCAAAAAAAAGATACAAATTTCATATGGGTGCAGTGTTGCATGATCACGCAATTGTCGTTCAAAGTGTGACAGGGCTGAAAGCTGAAAATTGGCCTGGGAAGGAAAGGGGTATAAGTGCCCTGTAGGCAAGTGGTTAATCACTATTGGAGTTTTTTGCTATATAAAAGAAAAGATACCTAGAATTTTGACAAAAAAAAGTTTTTCTTAGTTTCTGTTATAAAATTTTGCACATAAATAATCTTTCTTTATAAATATAGGCCAAAATGTATTCTGTTACCTTTCTTTGGTAAAAATAACTCAAATTAGTGTATATTATTTACTGTGTATTATTTATTTGTGTGAAAGTTATAGAATTTACAAACTATGGTGTATATATTTTGAAAATTGATCTGTCCTGGTGTACTGACTGCCTATCTCATTTCTTCAGGCCCTAAAATGCCAGGACAGTACAAATGCCCCCCAAATAACCCCTTTTTGGAAAGTAGACACCCCCAAGTATTTAGTAAAAGACATGGTGAATTTTTGAAGTTGTAATTTTTTTGTCACAATTGTTTGGAAAATCAAGAAATAAAATGTGTTTTTTTTTCACACTTTTTTACATACTGTCACCAGAGCAGTACAGCATCATCACATGACTGATGTGGTGGTGATCAGGTTCTCTGAAAAGCAGCAGTATGTAAAAATAATAATAATCTTTTTCATTTTTTAAAAATTCCTTTCTTTTTTTTCTTTTTTTACAATTCTTTTTACATACTGTGACCAGAGCAGTCATCTCTGGGGAGGTAACCAGGTTTTTTACATTATTTTGTTTTCTTTTTTAACAATTCTTTTTACATACTGTGACCAGAGCAGTCATCTCTGGGAAGGTAACCAGGTTTTTTACATTATTATTGCTTATTACAGTGATGACCTCTGTAATAAGCAATCATTGTAATGAATGGCATCCATTCATGTGCCATTATGTGCAATTGTGATAGCTGTGGTTGGCCACAGCTATCACATGGTACAGGTCTGCTGCGATTGGCTCTGTACCATGTGATCACTGTCACAATAGTACACGTTGAAAGGCTATGAGTGAAAGCCAGTGTGTACAACTGACTGACTGGTCACAGCAATCACATGGTAGCAGGGCCAGCCCAGTACAGCAGTGGGTGAGCACCACTTTGTGGCCCCTAGGGCGTGCAGGAGGTATGCGAGTGGGAAGATGTCATATAACGGCCACACAGGATAGTAGAGCTAGTTAACTACCACCAAAATAAACTTTACCTGTCTCAAAAAAATTCTGTAAAACTAATTTGGGGTGCTGCATAATGGAGTAATTGTCAGTCAAACTATCACAGTTCTGAAAACTGAAAAATGACCTGGTAAAGAAGGGATATTTCAGGCTGGTATACAAGTGGTTAAGCTTTAAAATAAAAATAGGGGGTTTCAGTGGAACTTCCTTCTCACTGCTTACTTCCCAGGCCCTTCTCATTTTGCTATGACTAATGAACAGGGCAAATATCACTTCATGCATACTTGGACAGCTTGAAAAAGTTATTGATGGTATTTTTGTTTTGTTGTTTTATTTTTCCTAGTTGTCTGGTAAGACAACTAGTTTATGTTATAAACAGAGGCTTTTATTGCTGCCCAGGTGGCATTGAGAACACAAATCAGAACATGTGCTAAGTAACTTTTACTTAGAAATTTGAAACAGTTCCAACCTGAGCAGATGGTTAGAAATAACTGCTTAATGAATTGTATACTGCTGAGCTTTATAGTTCCTCAAAGGAAAAGTTCCAATCTCAAGAACACATCGGTCATGATCATTCTCCATTCTAGCTGCAACTTCTAAAGATGGCTGTATACATTTTACACTATTTACAGTTTTGTAGGAGACACTTAACTCACTGGCAAGGACTGGGTTGTTGTCTTGAAGCAGATACACATAGATTCAAGGTGCTCCAAGGACTTCTTCACCCTCAGCAACATCGCTCAGTACCTCCTGTCAGAGGCCATGGCATAATGTACGGTATCTGCATAGATCTTGGGGGGCCAGCTCAATGCAGGCATCCCCCACATTGGAACTGGCAGCAGTGAGAGACCCAGAGAGAGGCCAGGAGAGGAATACTGATCTGACCAGGAGCTTTTCACATTTCAGAGCCCTGACGTGATCCACCAGCTTACCTTCAAGGATTTCCTATCTACACATCACTGGAAGGGGATCTATGACTTTCTGGATCCCATCTTCACCACACGAGGGTGCTCCTTCCTCATTTTCTTCAGTTCCAGTCCATTTTCTGACCAGAGAGAGGGATCTTCAGGATAATTACACACCGTGTATTTTGAATACGCTTCTGGTTAGTGCACTTTTCTATCATATGCACTGGAAACTCAGAGAGCACCTTCACAGAACTTTATTGCACTTCAGTGCCATTTTTATATTTGTATTCATTACAGCTCTTTAGTACATTGCTTGCCTCCCAGGGACAGCAACCCCAGGAGAATAACCCTACTGAACAGGCCTCCTGAACATTTATCTTCTCCCAAGGCCCCCTCCCAGGGATTGGCCGAGGTCAGATAAATATTAATAACTTAGTGGCTGACATTTTTGGCAGCTTCTTTCAGAGGCAGATAGAAGCAATCAACCACCAAGCTTAAGGAAACCTGGCCAGACCTGAAAAATAGATTGTTGTTCCACTAAGCGCAACAGAACCAAAAACTAAATTTATACTGACTAGGGCACTACATTTAGATTACTGAAACAGTCTAAAACCCATTCCAAAAATAGATATGCAAATGTAATACCAATAACCTTTATTTTCAAAGAGTTAGATCCCATTTTACTATGTGATTAAGCTCAGTAAAACAGCTGGTCAGACACAACCCCCTTCTCTTTTCTGCAGCCAATTCATGAATGTTCATCGCATGCAATATTTGTGTTTTTGTGGTATTTAAAATATCAATTCACTTAAAATAACAGTAAAGCTTAATTAATTAATTAATTAATTAATTAATTTATTAAAATAACAAACATGTTATACTAACCTGCTCTGTGCAATGCACAGAGCAGCCACAATCCTCCTCTCTTCTGGGGTCCCACACCAGCGCTGCTGACCCCTCTTCTGTGGCAGGTGCCCCCATGGAAAGCTGCTTTCCATGGGGGCATCCTTGCATACTTGCTCCTGAGACGCCCTGGCTGTGTCCATTGACACAGAGCGGGCGGGTCTGCTCCTCCCCTCACTCCCTCAGTACAGCATTTGATTGACAGCAGTGGGAGCCAATGGCTCCCACTGCTATCAATCTGCCCAGAAAGGAAGGGGACTGTGGAGAGAGCCGCTTCTCTCGTGCACATCGCTGGATCAGGTTGAGATAAGAATAAGGGGTGGCTGGGAGCAGCACAGAAGGTTTTTCACCTTAATACATAGAATGCATTAAGGTAAAACACCTTAAGGCTTTAGAACCACTTTCAATTAAATATTGCATTTGCTGTAACTTCTGCAAATGTAGTATTTACCACAAGAACCATGACTCATCCCCGCCTGGTCCATTCAGTATTCATGGGACTGAGATTGAGCTCTGCAGTCACTTCTGCAGCAGTTGTTTTCTTATTCTGGGTCACAATCCTGCACAATGACCTTTTGTCTCTTTTGGTCAGTTGACTATTTCAACCACGCTTGTGCTTATCAGATGACGCTTTCCCAGAAACTGTATATGCCGTCATAACCTTTGATATTGTACTTTGTGACACGGCAAATATATTGGCAACTTCAGTCACAGAGGCAGCAGCTAAACGGGCACCAACAATTTACCCTCTTTGAAGCTCGGTAAGCTCTGACATGACTCCGTATTACTAGTAGCTCATGCATTGAATGATGAAAATGGGGCTTCCCATCTGTTAGCTAGGTGTCTCATCACACAGCGGAAGCAACAGAATGTTACATCCCTTACGCTGTCAATGCGAATCATGTCACTTTCACACCTGAAAATCATGTACCTTATGCTCAGGTATGGGTCTGGCATAGATTTTGGGGAGGGAACTGTACATTTTTTTATTGTTTGTTTGTCACATGAGATTCCCCTAAAATCTATACCAGAATTAAAGGGTCTGGTATGGGATTTGGGGGTACCCTATGCAGTTTTTTAGTGGGGCCCCCCTAAAATCTATACCAGACCTTAGGGATCTGGTGAGAATCATAGAGGGATTAATTACCCCTTTTTGTTGACCTGTAGGTCAGGAAACCCCAGCTGACAACTGAATGATTTGGGCCGGAATAGATCAAGGATGTTGGGACACAGGTGGCTTCCAGCTCCCTTACAACTAGTAGCCCTGAGCAGGAGTTGTCATATTTACCAGTATTACCGCAGCTAAATGTGTAACTTCCTGCTGTCATATTCAGCAGTAATACTGCTGCTAAATGTGTAACTTCCCACTGCAGCCAGAGGTCTGGTCTATGATAAAATAAGGAATCAAATAAAGGCAAATGTAGGTGTTAAAGTGGTTCTTCTGGCTGAAGATTTTTTACCTTTATGCATTCTATGCATGAAGGTAAAAAACCTTGAGTGTGCAGCTACATCCTTAGCACCCCAATACTCACCTGAGCCTGATCTCAATCCAGCAATGTGCACAAGAGCAGAGGCTCTCTCGGGTCTCTCTCCTCATTGGATGAGACAATGAACAATGGCTCCGGCTGCTGTCAATCACATCCAGTGGGGAGGGAGCAGACGGCTGGACTATGCCATGCTCTGTGTGTCCCATAAATACACAGAAGCAGCTCATGAGTGAGCACGCACAAGTGCCCCCCCCCCCCCCCAGAGCCAACGTCTTGCTCTGGGAGC